CCCCCCCCTCCCCGCTGGATCCCTTTGCGGAGAAAGGGCACAGAGAAAATAGGCTGGTTCACTCTCTTTTGAAAAAGGGACCGATGGATCTCTAGCATTCCAACATCGTGAAAGCCCTTTCCGTCCGCCGCGACATCCGTCAAAAACAGGACAATACAGAGAAGATGCGCAAGCCCACTGCGCAAGGATGTTTCGACAATCATGTTCCCCGTACCGGGTGTGCGTGAGGCATTCCTTGTTCCTTGAACTTTTCGACGCCCTGCGACACGCTTCTTGTTTTTTTCCTCGGGGTTATTACAGGCAGGTCGTGGTTAGGAAAGCACGACACATTGCAGGTGAATATACATCACCAGAGCAGTATTGAAAAATAGAAGAATCAGCGGAAAACAGAGGAGAAAAGTGTCGCATTTTGGGGGCCCAGGCCAGTACGGCGGGGTGCAGTTGAACAGAAAGAGAAGCCTAAAGACCGGTCAACAGGAAATGCAACTATCCATGCCCCGACGTCATCATCCGGACATGAATGCACTTCTCAGTCTATGGACAGTGGATCGCCAATCGCCATCTAAGGTTGATTCAAAATTTCCGTCCAAGTTAGAACGATGACACATTCATCATCATCATCATCATCATCATCATCATCATCATCATCACCACCACGATCATCTTCATCGTCGTCGTCATCAGCAGCAGCAACAGCAGCAGCACCATCACGATCTCGATGTAGCTACCTCTGCACAGCGCACGTGCCACACAGGCCCCAACAATGAACGACACGTTTCACCCACCTTTCCCCATCGTACAACATTCGTACCTCTGTCTTTTCCACAATTGGGAAGGGCCCGTAACATTACTGTATAATCTGTTCACTGATACTTACATGCGTGTACCTTGTCAGTGACGTGGGCTGGGTACATACGTACCTTTTCTCTGTACAAGTAGAAGAGAATATAGCCTGCGAAGGGGAACGTGACGACGGACGGTCCCAACCAGTCCGGAACAGTTGCGTCAGCGACGGTTTTCGCTGCGTCATGAGCGGTGGCAGCGACCACAGGGGTCGATAGCTTGTCTAGTTCCTCAGCAGCTCCGGCGATAGCCTCCGCTATTTGCGCCTGCGCCTCCGATGCCAAGGCTGCCGCGGCTCCAGGTTCGGGGTAGATCAATGACCAGAGCAAGGCGGATCCTTCGAACATGAGAGCAACGATGGCATTCCACATCATCCCCCGATGACGATCGGACTCGGTTTCCTGATAATACTCAGGTTGGTTCTTCAACAGTCCTCGAACTTTCGTCATCCGCGAGACCAAAACGTGGACGAGACCTCCCCCCCGCGTGTCCAATTCCACTTCCTCGCCCCCTTCTGCTCCTTCGCGCAAACTGATCTCCTCCAAGTCTTTGATGGCTAGGGCAATACCAGCCCTTTTTCCGATCATTTCTGAATCAACGGCTGCGACCACAACAGGAGGGACAGCGGGCGAACCTGACGACGACAATCGATCGACAATGCTTCTTTGATGGCCAGCAGCAGCGGCAGCGCGCAGCTCCGTCGCTGCGTCCTGCCAAGAGAAACCGTCATCAACGGCGGCGGACAGCTGCCGCGCCGCGCCCAAGGACGCTCGGGCGCGCAGCTCGGAAACCTCCACTTGTTCATTCCACTCTGCCTCCTCGTGTGTTTGCGGTTCCGAATGCAGCTGCAGGGCTGCCCGCCTTCTGTTCTCGCTCTCTCTCTCCCTCCTCGATATCGTCGTCGGCGCCTCCATTGTCCCGACGCCGTCGCGTGTCGTTGATTGGAGATCCGGATCTGTCCACCAAGCCGTCCACAGATCCTCGGCCGCAGCCAACCCCATTACCAGCGACAGCTTGCCGCCGTCGGCGTCAATCCTCTCTGCATCCTCCATCACGGGCTCGGTCGGCGACATTCCCCTAGTCCGGGTGGTCGTCAAGCGCAGAGTCGACGAGGCCCATTTCCTGAGCCTTCCTGCCATGTCGGCGAAATCCAGACCTTCGCACAAGGTTGCCTCCACCCCCTCGCGATCATCCAAATCCGACATATCATCGAGAGAAAGGTTCCAAGCCCTCAGCAACCCCTCTACACCGAGGGCAATCTCTCTCTCTCCATCATCGGCAAAGGACCCCGCACCTGCCGTAGCTTCGCCACATATGCTCGACCCCGCCTCCAGCCAGCTGTCTGATGGTTGACCCCGGGAGATAATGGCTCTGCGACCCCGAGGCGATGACAATCCCAGACTTCGAGAGGATGATTGACAAAGTTTACACAGTGCGCACAGTGAAGAGAGGACAGCACCTCCATTATCGCGACGTGTCACGTAACGATCCATCATCATCGTCCTTGCAGGATCTTCACCCCCAACGCCAACCGTTCTGCCATGGCTGTTCTTGTAGTTATCATCTCCAGAATGGCGACGGAGCATCCGGCGCGCACTGACAACCGGCTTCTGATTGAACAGAAGGGCCGACACCGAAGAAGACAAGCCGCAGCACCGGGGGCCGTGTGCACTGGCGTCAAGCCCACGGAGTCGTTCTGGCAAGACTATCACGTGGCGACATGCTGTGGCCCAGGCCATCTCTCGAAACTCTTCTCACGTCCGTCGTCACAGAAGGAGAGATGAACGAGCAGATTACTTTCAAGGACAACAGTCGCAAAGGCAAAAGAAAACCAAAAAAGCAAAATTATCGACGCTGTTTCAATTGACGCCGAGGGGAAGCAGAATAGAGAAAGAGGAAGGAAGGAGAAGGAGAGTCGAATCGACTCACCAAAGGGGATAAACCATCAAAAGGAACTCCGATTGGCGGTCGCCCAAGGTCCAAGGCCCTACGCATACACGTGAAGGTGGCGCAAGCTCGCTTGAACATCGACGCGGAAGCAGAGGAGCCCCTAATCTACTTGGGGAAATCAAAACGCACAAAACACACAGGCGCGTGCGAGCACACACACACACACACACACACACACACACACACACACACACACACACACACACGAACACGCGGATTAACAGGAATAAGTGAAATCATGAAATTATAAGACACGTTGTGATCGGTAGGTTCCCCAACGGTCTGCGTACCCACGTGGCGGAGTTAAACGATTCTTCCTCCGCTTTGGTTACTGACAATTAGTAAGGGGGTGAAGAGCGGTGAAGAGTGGAGATCAAGGTCAGCGCTCAGAGGGGTGACGAGGAGCGAACACGGAGAGAATAAGGAGACAGAGGAAGAAAGGAGGTGGGACGCAAGGGAAGCCAACGAATGGCCCGACACAGCACGAAGAACGAACAACGAACGACTCCGTGATGGCGGCTCTTCGCTGGGTTGGTCATAGCCAATAACGAAACACAATTCCCCCGCCAACGGAAAGGCCATGCGCATCTACAGGAAGCTCCCCGCTAACGGTGTGTGAAAGAGAGTCAATCTATACTCGATATTTGACGACCACCCAACCGGACCAGTGAGCTATTACGCTTCCTTGAAAGGATGTCTGCTTCCAAGCCCACCTCCGGGTCGTAATTGCTCGATCACTTCCTTTCCCACAAAGTGATCGCTTTAGGACCTTACCGGACGATCTGGGCTGTTTCACTTTTGAATTTGGATCTTAGCACCCAAAGTCTGTCTGCGCGATGCTCAGTTGCAAGTATTCGGAGTTTCCTTGGGGTTGGTCAGCTTTGGGCAGTTCGGAGGGCGCCCGTACTCGATATTTGAAGACCACCCAACCTCGAGGAATTGCACTCGCACGGCAGTAGAATAAAAACACAAAAAGTGCAAACTACTACGTCTGTCTCTTATACACATCTAGATGTGTATAAGAGACAGTATTTGAAGACCACCCAACCTCGAGGAATTGCACTCGCACGGCAGTAGAATAAAAACACAAAAAGTGCAAACTACTACGTCAGTCAAATTCGAAGCGATGTCCAGTGCTTCGAAAAGCTACAACCCCCTCCGTCAATCCTCAAGTCGGAAGGTCAGAAAATCTCACACAGAGCACGCAATGGACGTCGAGAATATCATATATACGGAAACAGAAGGCAGGCAAGCGTGCCTAGCTTCCGCTTCAAATGACCCTTCTATTCCGAATACCATCTCGGGAATGTGGAGAGTATCTATGAAACGCAAGGAAGGCTATCATCTCCGGAATGTGGAGAGTATCTATGAACCCCTAACTGCCCTCAATTGAGGGCGCCAAATTCCTCACGGCACCACAGACACAGCTCACCAAAGCGCTGACGAAAACATTCGTTCGTGAAGTTCTTTGCGCGGTAAGCGAGCATTTCCAGGAAATCCAGGAAAGTGTGCTTGACGCGTCCATTAAAAATTTTCACTGAGGGCGCCGGATCACACCGATTGAATTGTATGTGTGCTTGCAGGAGAGTGAAGGTGAAAAAAGAACTTGAAAAAATGTGTCGTCGACAAAGCCATTCGCTGGAGATTGCGTAGGCCCGATCGCTATCCGGGACAAGGCTACCTTCTTCCCCCGAATACAACGTACGGTCATTATACCTGTAATTTGGGTTATCTGACGTTGTATTCGGGGGAGGAAGGTAGCTGCGCCGGGACCTCGACCTAGACCGCGATAAGCAGTGGATAAGGGCCTCGCCACACCACTCTCGAAATTGCAATATGAGAATGAACTTTCCCCTAGAACATGGCCGGATGCACCCGCCACACTTTCGTCTATTTCATATTTCGAGAGAGATGTGCCGAGGCCCTACGTTCGCAGCCATTAGTATAGGTTGAGCCTTACCCGTAGCCCAGTTCGCAGCCCGTCAGGGTTGCGTTTGGCCCCCCTGAGACATTTCAACGTTCAACGTCATTTCAACTCATTTCAACGTCGTGGTCGTCGGGAGGGTGGGCATTTTGAGGTTTTGGGGCCTTGCAAGGGCCACGACCGCGTAAATAGAGGCCGAGGTCCTGAAGCCTTTTTCGAAATTGAAACGGTGCGGTGCACTTTTTTCGAATACCACAGTTTCCTCGAATAGAAAATGTACAGGTTGTATTCGAATACAACCTGTACCCTTTCTATTGTATTCGGATTTCGAAAAGAAAAACTCTTGTATTCCGATAAAATTACTTCTTCTTTTTGTTGGAGGTCAGCGCCTGCCCTCTTGCGCCCCGCCACTGACATGTTGCATGCTGCAGCTCTCTCTCTCTCTCTCTCTCTCTCTCTCTCTCTCTCTCTCTCTCTCTCTCTCTC